AACAATCGTAGATATCTTTATACACGCCATACCTGAATCATGTAGCCTACGCGTGACAGCAGGTTGAATGTCAGTCTGTGGTTTTCAGGTTGCTTTCAGTTACGTAATGACACAAGGTTCCTGATTGGATGTTTTTGTGTCTCGTGATCAAAGCAATATATCATTGACGATTTCTGATAAATATTTAATGTTGGGTGCACGGCAAACAGCAAATGGGGGTCAGTGTGTTAAACAAGGCACTCCATCCAGGACAGCTTCGTTTATTTACTTGGCTCAACCTATCGATATGCCGGTCGCTCTTACTCCCAATATCGAGTAGGTGCATGCATGGCAGCGGCTGAAAACAACAAAGGCCAAAAACTACTTAGAAACTCTGTTCCGCCACGTTCTCTGGTGGCAATTAGTAGAAGAGCAACATCATGCCGCCGAAAGTTGATGAGATACTTTTCGTGTTTTACTATACCTGTTTTCTTGACATCATTTTTTGTTTTTCAGAACAATTAAGATCTTCTTACAAGGCTTAAAAGAGTCATATTTTTTATGAGAAGTGGAACAATTACAAATTACGGCAAAATCTGTCAATTTGATAGTATTCTAGTTTAGTCCCCATTCCTTATTCCAAAACTGAATGACCCTATTATAGGCAAGTAAGGCAAAACTATTAACTGACTGTTCTGCCGAAATATCCACCAAATCCCGAATAAATAAGACGAAATAGGCTAATTACGATTTGGGTTTTCATAAATTATTTGGGATTTCGCATAACAAAGGACTACGGCGACATGCAAATTACGTTAGTTACGGTTATGTCGAATTATGTCATATATGGAAACTAGCCTTAAAAAAACGTTTAGTTTGCAGGCCTCCACGACTATGATCATTTAATTATCTTCAAAAATTTTTCAAGCAAGTTATTTCTATGGTACATGCACAGTGCTTTCTCGCCTGATCCTTTTTTAGATTACCTAAAGAAAAACCTTTTCCAGCAGAGAATTTTGCCAAATATAATCCCCGAGTCGGTGCGGAGCACCGTGCGAGGGTACTAATTTGGCTTGGATATTTACACTCACGATGTGCAAAGGCGAAATCCAAGTCGTCCGCCATTTTGCGATGGACTCGCGCCATTGACGGTCCTCTACGTTATGCGCATGCGCCAGTGAAAACGTCTAAGCTCTTGATTTGTCGAGACAAAAAAATTGTATTTTCAAAAGTTCATTAATGACTGCATAACTGCTCTCTCCTCCGCAGAGGATTTTAAAGGAATAAATTCGGAATTGCGCTAGAAGGTGCAATTGCGCTAGAAGGTGACGTATCTCATATTTGATATTTCACAAAATTTTGATGAAATTTATAAATTTATATGGAATATATGAACAACAAATTTAAAGACCAAATATTCGACCGAATTCACCGTGTTTAATGAAGTCGGAAGATTTTACACTTGATAATAATCATAATATTTCATCTGGCACAGCTTTATAAACTCATTCTTTTGTCATAAACACAACTTCGATATTCTCAAATGTATTTCATGCATTATGTGTTATGTGATAGACGACACTATATTAATTTCATTTATAAACTCCGTTTTAATAATGACAAAAATCAAATCAAATCTAATCAAAATATTCGCGTGCAAAAACCAGTCGAGGCGTAAAATACTTCGGAACTTGTATGAGACGTCTAATGCTATATTTCATGGTAATTAAAAAATGAAAATAATTTAACATAACACTGACTATAGATGAGTAACTTAACTTCCAGAAAGAGGTAAGAATCTTGTCGTATTTTTGCCATTTTTTTCACAAAAATATGAGGGTAAACTTTGATTCCACTACTACAGTGCTTCCACGCCTTGAAACTGAATATTTCCATGCATACTTAGTTTCTCACATACCACGTACCCCAACCCAAATAATTTTTTTAACTATCACGTCACCATCCCTATGCTTAACTAATTTCCTTTAACCGAGGCGAGGGGTTGCTGCATGCATGTATTTCTAGTATAAAATGTAAAATTTACTGTTGGCTCACTTCTGTTTGTGATGGGATTGCTGTTGGCCTTGTTGCTTCATAGGCTATTACCGGTGGTGGATAAGCCCTGCGTTGAGGTTGATATGCTGGGGGAGGTTGTGTTGGATGAGGTTGAGAGCTTTGTGAATACATTTTTTGCATCGGCTGCATTGGATAATACTCATTTCGCTGTTGGGCTCCAACGACTGTAGTTGGGGGTCGCCTCACTATAACTCCGCCATGAGCCCGGCGTTTCGATACTGCTACAACACAACAAAAGCAAGCGCAAGAGCCGGCAACTGCAATCGATATGACAACAACGACGATAACACTGATCCCGCAATCTTCTTCTTTTCTACATTTGTCATCAGAATCACAACATTCTCCATTGGCACAGTCGTTTTCCGAAACACACGATACCCCAACACAGTCCGAACGACACACACTGTTGCAACAGACTTCTTCGTCAGCGCAGTGATAATCGGAGAAACAAGTCTCGCCAACGCAGCTTGCCTGACATATATTCAGCTCGGGATAATTTCTAACACAACAATACTTTTTTGAGTTGGAAAATGAACAGTCATGGTCATAGAAACATTCGTTAGCTTCCACTTTAAAAAGCACGATGTATGCAGTAAGAAATATCAGGAAAACTATCGTAGATATCTTTATACACGCCATATCTGAACCATGCATGCATGTAGCCTACGCATCCGTCGCATCGCACTCAGCAGGTTGAATGTCTGTGGTTTTCCGAGTTGCTTTCAGTTACTTAATCATACAAAGCTTCTGATTGGATGTTTTTATGTCTCATTACCAAAGCTATATATGATTGTCGATTTCTAATGAATATTTAAAATTTTGTACACGGAAAGCAGCAAATATAGCCGAGCCTTTTGTTAAACAAGGCTATCCTGGACGATTTCTTTTATGGCTGAACCTATCTACATCATGGCGGTTGTTTTTCCTCGCAATGTCGAGCAGGTGCCACCGGCTGAAAACAATTTCTCTGGTTCTCCTGTTCAAACATAAAGAGCAACCATATAACTAAGTTGGCTCTAGAAAACCCCATGCAGTAATCTTTGCATGCTAGGGAGCATGCAGTTTAGACTGTGCGAAAATGAATTCTAAGGAAATTTTATTATAAAATTACATGTATATAACGTGTGTTCTGATTGGTCGAAGTCCTTGTTTGAATTAGGCCATTCAAACACGTAAATTAGATTATTGAAATCAAACTTAGAACACTACCTTGTTGTTGTTATTTTATAAAACAATGACTTAATGGTTTTCTGTGTTTCGATGGCCTGAGCCGAACACTTAGGAAGGTTGCTTGTGATTAGAAAAGCTTGCAAAATCACTCGCCGCCTTTGGCTCGTGTTTCGCCATAGGAAGCCCAGACAAATGAGTCGGCCATTTGACTATACAACTAGTGAATATATTATTGGGAAGGATGGAAAATCTCGCCTCAATTTTCAACATATTCACAAATTAAAACACAAATTACTATAGTAAAACGGCACGTTGGCTGCTAAATGCCTACGGTAGGTTTAAGTTGAATAATCAAACTATACTTTCATAGTAAAAATAATACTGAATCCAAAGGAAAGCGCTGGAAAAACGTACACAAACTTTGTAAATTTGCCGAAATTTTCGTAAATACATGCAGGATGTAAGTACCTACCCAAAATGGCGGCTGGCAGAAGAATCTGATTAGTCGATCATTCTTTGTTTACCTTTCTCGACCAATCAGATTGGTTTATCATACTTTGTTTACCTTTCTCGACTAATCAGATTCTTCCGCCGCCGCCATTTTGGGTAGGTACTTACATCCCGCATGTATTTACGAAAATTTCGGCAAATTTACAAAATTTGTGTACGTTTTTCCAGCGCTTTCCTTTGGATTCGCACTATTTTTATTATGAAAGTATAGTTTGATTATTCAACTTAAACCTACCGTAGGCATTTAGCAGCCGACGTGCCGTTTTACTATAGTAATTTGTGTTTTAATTTGTCAACATGTTGAAAATTGAGGCGAGAGTTTCCATCCTTCCCAATAATATAGTAAGTTACGTCACTAGTTATATAGTCAAATGGCCAACTCATTTGTCTGGGCTTCCTATGGTTTCGCGCGCTTTTCTTAACCCATGTGACATTCCCGCGTGTGTGGAACAGGGGCCAGTTGTATAAAAGATTAGTTAATCAGAATTGGCCAATCAGAGTTGTGTATTTCTGAGTTAACTAGTATTTAACTATGCAAAATGTAGTTCAGAGTTTAATAAAACCTGCCCCATACCGGCAAATTAAACACAGAAACCGCATTAAGCCGGTAATCGTTTATTGCCGCACGAAAGCGCAAGAAGTTCATGAAATCAGGCATTGACTAATTTTTAGTTAAGCTGTTAATGTTCATTTTGTGTATGTACCATGTACCATGCAAATGATAATTATCGCTTTTATGCGATATTATCGCTTTTACCTTTTGAAGCAGGCAATTTCGCGAAATATAATATACGATATAATTATAATATAAAACATCTGGTAGACTCAATATATAAGTTTAAAAAACAAGACACAAAATTCTGGTATATTATCCAATTTTGTTCGCATATTTTCTAAAATATGCAAACTTCTTTCGTTAGCATGAAATTTTATTGGCGGCTTAATGCCAGAATCAGTATTGGCATGCAGACAACCAGCCTCGTACCCAGGCGCTTTAATTGTAAAATATATAACATTGCATTCAGTTATTGTATAGAGGTAAGCTGATAAAGAGGAAGCCACCCCAAAGCGCCCCCAAGAACCCTCGCGCGCTCGCTTTTATTTCAGTAACTATCCATTGTATGAGGCTGGGTTGCTAGGTGAAAACTGAAAAGTAGTCTCTGGTCGATTTCATTTACCGTACATGACTTTCTTCCGAAAGTCGTGTTACTATTTCCGCGGGCTCATAAACACGGTTCACTTTTGTTCTTTGCGTTCAACGGGACGTGTGTGAGACCGTGAGGCGGAAGAACATTATATATCATGGAATGGTTTCTGAACCATTTCAGCTATTTTCTCGGGGAATGCAGCAGTTGATAAAGCAATTCTAGGATGACGACTATTATCAAGAATCAGATCGTAAAACAACTGGCTAGGTACACGAAACGCCGTTTGTTTATCATGCTGTTCGATCGTGATGCGGACGTGTTCGCAAACCCTTCATCGCCTTAATCATTGTTTTGACACGATACTTTAATGCCATGAATCGATTTTTTTTCGAAGGTTCACGAAGAACTTGTCTCCAAGTAAAATCAGCCTAAAGTTCCTCAAAGGCGAGGGAGAGCTTCGAAATTTGGAATTGAACGAAAAATTTCTTACAGACTTGTTGGAGCTGCCCCCGTTCATACGACTAACCCGGGCAGTATGCAACAAAATATCTGCCAAGGTAGGGAAAAATGTATCAAAACAGTGCCGGAGGTTCGAAATGTTATATTATTCAATCATTATTCGAGATTTTACATCAACAAATGGGAACGTGGGTTTTATCAAGCAATGATCCTACATTAGTTCTGGTTTTGTATTTTGAAATTTGTCTACCCCATTTTGACCGCAAATGTCAAAATTTATATCGTAAACTTTGAAAAATTTGTACATTTGTAGCGAAGTACCGAAAAAACATAGGTTTGAGTGCTGTTTTATACCGCAATCAACCCCGTATCGTGCCTAAGATCTTTGCGTGATTATTTAACACCCATAAGTGCAATGTTTTGAAGCAAAATAGCCGATCGAAAAATATTTATTATTTGCAGCATGCCAGTGCCTCGTGGTTTTCGCGCAGTTTAATTGAATATTGTGAAATTGGCCGTTTTTGGATATTCCCTAGGACACTTGACGGGATTCTAGCAGTATTAAGTATATTTAGAAGTACGCGTGTATAATGCATGCAGTATGAATTAAGCAGGGTGTGTGTGTAACCTGCATTTAATCTCAGATCATCCCCAGAAATTCTGACTGAATGTTATTTGAATGTAATTATGTATTCATTATTGAGAATTGTCATTCAGTCTCACTGCACTACCTGTACTTTGTTGTAATGCAGGAATTATATCATTTAAACTGAAGGTCCAAAGAAAATTTATACTGATAAGTGATTTAGTGCTGTAGGTAATACTAAAGTCCATGTTTAATATATTCCCTTGTTCCATTATCCCTGCCCTAGGAACTGTTGAAATCTAATCACAAAGGGTTGCAACGTTTTCTTCTGGTTAGATTTTCCATCGATAGTTGCACATCAGTGCTTCCACTGAACCTTTTACTATCCAACACAATCCAACACAACTAAGACCTTTTTTAAATGCCAATGCTACATGCATCAAGGGCTGCTTGGAGCAAAGTGCCTATAACTTTCTTAAAAATATCCCCCTTTTCTGAAACATGCCTAGGTCCTTGAATGTACCTTTCTTTCAGTAATCACTGAACATGTGTTGTTCTTGAGGGATACATAATCTTAGAACAGATAGAATCAACATGCATCACTGTCTTGTCATAATATAATTTGTAAAGAGAAAAGAGAAATGTGATATATCTGTATCAACCTGTATAGCTGTTTCTGTCTTAAAGTCATTCTCTAATACTTTAATTACAGTAATATCCATTATCCCATCAATTTAAGAATGTCCATCTCCTAGGAAATAATGAGATAATAGGTATAACGTGGCAGACATTTGTGCATGGTGAAATTTGTTATTAAATTAGCCATTTCATATTTCTCCTATAATTATGTATGGATCCATATTCATATATAAAATTTCTGTAAAAAGCATATAGTTCTGCTCTTGAAAATATCAGGGTAAAGTATGGCAGTGATGGATGCCCCCTGTTTGGTAACTTGAAAGACAAAGAACATTAGGTTTACTCAACTTGAACCAATGAGAATATATGTATTTTAGAAAAGATGTACTCAAGAAACTTTTGTTAATCTTATTCATTCATTTATTTATTTATTTATTCATTTAGATACACTGGACAAGATTGAAAACTGATCCAATTCGATTGGTAAGATCATCTTTACATATTTTCTTTGTTAATGGTATTGAAACATGGGAATTATTGCAAATAGACTAAGCCAGGTTTAGCAATGTTCTCCTATTGGATGATGGTTTAAATAGACCTTGCTGTTTATCCACTCTCGACAATTAGTCTCATCTCATGCTCTGTGAAAGGTGCACATGACGGTTTTATATCAAGTATTGTTTTTGCACAAATTTGTTAATTACTTGTTATTTGTTAATTTGGTAATTACATGTCCTGATATGAAGGAGGCACAAGTACACATGTAAAACCTAACATAATAGGGGCCAGCATATTAGGTCAATTGAGCTTAAACCTAGCTATGTATGGTGCAGCGTTTGAGTGGATTTATCTATACCGTATGTGTCACCTAATTACAGTAACAGTTCACCTCAGCAGTACTGCCGGTGCACGAGCAGATTTTTCTGTCATTAGAAAACATACCAGAAGTATTACACGAGCAGGTTTTTCTGTCAATTCTAGTACTTAGGGCATTTAGCACAAGCAAATTAGTGATTTTAATAGGTTTAATGCTCTTCAAGTCTACATAGGTGCATTTTAAAATAATTATTTAAGTTGCTTTGAATGGATGAACTAATAAAGGTACGTTACTTTGTCTTCTAGTTCTTAGATTGTGTAGAGGTTGATATGGAAATGATTGAAGTTTCAGATGATTTTAATTTAAAACAAACTTCTTCAGTCACTGCCAATCAAGTTGCCAGGTGAGTGATGGACCATAAAAATACAGTCACAAAATGTTTGTGTACCAAAGAGTTTCATTCATGATTTCATGTACCAAAACATGATTTATAAGGCTTCGAAGTTTCGTTGCTAAATTTCATCCCTATTTTTTTTTCTTCAATGGTTGATAGTATAATTATTTTCGTCAATTTCAGCGGGAGATATTGCAAACGGCAAATGAATTTTTCCCTGAGTTGATAAAAATGTCGTTTTGATAGACCAGTCACATTACCAGACCTCACACTTAAACAAATTGCTGTAGTTGAAAAAAATATTGCAGCATTTTTTTTATTTAACTACATTAAAAAATTTGTTTTCTTTTTGGTCAACTTTGTTTTACGTTCCGATTTGGTTCACTTTAGAGAAAAACCATCTGAATATGGATTCGCTGAAAAAGTTGTTGACGGCATGCATGTCACGATCAACTCGGTCGTGATGGCATTCAAAACCCCGACATTCCGCGCGACATTTCAGATGTCGCATCTTTCAGTCCACAGCACCGACCCCAGCTGGGAGAAATCCAGTTTAAGAAATACCAGGATTAAAGATGAGAAAGGGAAAGAGGTGTTGACCTTTAAGCAAATCACGTTCGGTACGCTGAGGATTGACGCAGATGCTCTCTATAAGAGCGGCCAGGAAGAGGTCAGTATTTTAAGTAGCTATATACATACATACAAAAAACCCAAAAAACCTGAAATCCCGAGGAGCGGTTGTGTATGTAGAATGGTAGTTAACGTTTGCCTATAGTTACGGACATGTTTGGCCAATCGATGTCGCGTATTTTATAGTTGACAACTAGAATTACAAATTGTAAGTGAAATGTTGCGAGTGAGTACACATACAGTAGTGCCTTTATCTTCCCCCTGTCATCTCTTGGGTAGTCGTTCTTCAGCTGGGGTCGGTTGTTCAAACGTCTCGTAGCTTAACCCTGGGCTGAAACAAATCTTTACATTAATTTTTCTAATCGCTTGTTTACAAAGTTGAAAATATTTTTTCATTATTTTTTTCTGAACCGATAGATGTCATATTTTCTAAAGTATAAAACGAATTAGCAGTGGTCAGAAGGACATTAACATTTAACCCAGGGCGAGAATCTAGCTTCGAACAACTGGCCCCAGGATAGAAGTAGCAATATTGCGTGTCAAACAACTTGATTTGTTTTGTTTATATTATGATAAACGATATGATATACAATATTATATTGTGGTTATGCTGATGAGAATTTTTTGCCGAGTTAAGATCGCACTTATGTGGGAGTATGAAGCATCACGCATTGAATCGCATAGGATGAGACCGCAGTACTATGCTACGTGTGCTCTAAAAATTATCCTTAAAAAAAATTGCTGAAATCGAGATGCACGTCAAGAATATAGGGCTTATAGGATTTAACTGCCGAAAATGTAGTTCATGGAAGGTGTAACATTTTGTTGGCAGTTTAAAATTACCCAATATTAGCTAGTTATTGTACGTTATTGTATGATTTTCTTTTATCCCTGGGAAACTGTCGTTCTGGTACACTAATCGAAATTCTTTTAAAATTCACAGGGCATGTGATCTTTCTCAACCAGTATTTTCGTACGTCCCTCCCCAGCGTGTCTTAGAACTTACTGTAAGGTTCGAGGTCGATTAAATGGCATTTTGTTGTCTCAAAATAAGTTCGTAAAGCGGTATTGCTCTGTTTTGCATCTTTCACCTTAAAACACGGTAGACATTCTATAATGGAATATTGAATCTTTTTTTGCCTTGATTCTCTCTTGGAGTATATCATTTTAGATGCCCATCGCTTTTGCCCATTACAACGCTGAGTTGCAGATTTTGCCTATACACCGATAGATCACATCGTGTGTAGAGTTCATTTGCCGAGTTCGTGTTAGAGCAAGCGCGATTTCAAATTAAGTCGAGTGAGATCTCTCGTTCTCTTATTCCTTACTTATTCTCATTTCTAGAGTTCATTATCGTCGTCTCCGTTGCGTTTGATCACAAGCGCAGCAAAATTGAACATTGTGATAAAAAAGAAGATAGAAGATTGCTCTGTTGTTGCCGCTCGTCTTCACGCTATTAGTGACGATATCTTGTGGGTTCTCACGCATGTGCAGTTACGGGCAGTTGCCGGATTTGCCAAGTCTGTAGTTCAGGTCGTAGAGAAATGTAAGAAAAGTGAACCAGCTCCTAGTGTGGTAAGTTAAATTTTTTATCTTTGATCTAACGAACATTGGTGGGAAGGTAAATGATTTTGCAAACGTTCATAAACAATGCCTGTTTCCACAATAGCCCAAGCTGCAAGTTATAACACAATAGGCACTTTGAACGTTTGTGGCAAACCACTAACCGCAGAACGGCAAACTTGAAATCGTATTTTTTTAGCCGTCTATTAGCCGATTTTGTCTACATATTTGCTATATAACGTCAGCTTAAGTAGATAAAATCAATTTCCGCTGTTGAAACTTTAGTGTCTTCGTTCTAGTGCATGTCGGTATGTTTACGATTCACGACGCGGCCAGCTCGACGACGCGCTTGCGACACAAAGAAACACCACACGCTAGACACTATAGGTATGCATAATTTGTGGTCCAACGCCAACGTTGTCGTTTTTACGACGCCTTCAAATGAGCCATTTTCACGGCCTCTTGATGACATGAAAGCTGCGACAACGTGATAGCTGTTTGATAGCTTATATATGAAACTGCAATATCAGTTAGACATCGGAGGTTCTTATTACAATTGAAACGTTTGTATATTTCAAGGTCCTGGCGGCATAATTAACTTCCAGTAGCTATAATTTCTAGCAAAATAATTGACTAGGGACGTCGAGCTGCATGTTACCGCGTTGTAAATCATAAATTCTCTATTGACTCTCCCGAAGAGACCCTTTAAGGTCGAAGGACGAGGCCCTTTTTCGTTTATATTACAGTATATAGGCATTTGTTATGATTTGATGCTTAGTAATTTCTGCTCTACACTTTCTTACATTACTCGCTATACCTATATTTTACCAGCTTGTCCGTGCGACTTCGAAACGCCGAAGCATTTCATTTTGTTTTGTACTCTTTCAACACAGGCTTCAGACGATTCTACGCAGTCCTATAACTCGCCTAGTGAGAACTGGAACGAACATATTTCCCCAACTGACTACTCCAATCAGACTCCTTCGTCATTATTTCAAAAGGAGGATGTGAAAGAGACTTCATATCGAGTAACAACTGGAAAAATTGACATTCATTTATGCGACGACACACCAATCGAGAAATCCTTTATCGACGAAGGCGGACAATCGGGAGGCTCTATGCAAATTGTGGTTAATAAACTATCTTTCGAGCACTATCCTTACCATCTGGCTTTCACATCACGTGTGCATTGGGCCTCTCATAACGAGGCATCGCTGACTCGCGCTCACTGGGTTCAGGAATTGTTTAATAGTTTTAAGAAAGTAATGAAGGAAGACAGCAAGAAAAGCAGAATGAAGCAGAATTCTCAGGTGCTGTTCAGGGTTTGCCAGGAATGGTCGTATTTATATCACAGGACGGCTTAGGCCTAGGTTAAACGTCGCATTTTGGTCGCGTGGAATGCAATTCAAACAATAGGCATTGAGATGGTAATGAAGCTTAATCAGGTTTGCCATCTCATTATCTATATGGTTTGAATTTGCATTCGACACGACCAAAATGCGTCTTTTAACCTAGGTCTTAAACGTCTGGACGACTTAAACGTCTTGTGGCTAAGTGGGATTAGTATGAATACGAGATGAACATAAACACGCGCAAAAAAATTAATTTGCTCCGTTTTCCGAAGAAAAGAGTCTTCATGGACCCACATAATCACCTGGATTGCCCCACGTTTGTGCAAAAATGCGTCCATTTTCAATAGCCTCTTATTTGTATTACAAGAATTTAACGTCTACGACGGTTGATTCGTCAGTTAAAAGCGTCATTTTGCACGCCCTTAATTTGAAATGTTTAATTCGTCTATACGTTTAATTCCGCTCACCATTTTCTCGTATTTATATAAGACAACTTTAACGTCTCAGACGTCTAAGCCTTCCTCTAATATAAATACGGCCAATAGTTTCAAATTGAACTTTATAAACATTTATACACTATGACATTTGTCGTGCATGCATGTGCGATTTTTACCCCGACGTATGACCAAATGAACACGTTCCAAACATGATATAGGAATAGGTAAAAATGTGTCTTGCACTCATTTTTATTCTTCAGTGACAATACGCATATGTGCAACCTACAGTATCGTCTAAATAGACCTTCTCCCTCTGTCGCTTGATATCTAAAATCTTGATCATGCATTATCAACTTTTCATAAGTTGAAAGTTGCTACAACTTTAGGAGCACATCTGTAGGGGAATAAAGCTTTTATTTCTATAACGTTCTGGTGAACTGGATCTTTGATTATATTTCTTTATTCTAATAGGTTCCCGAGCAAGGCGTTGGAAATGCAAAGTATACGCGTCATGACCCAGGCTTTAATAGAAATGTCGTTACTGCTACTGATGGTATTTCCAAGAAGCCTCCTCCTATGTATTTATACGAGTGCGCGTTTGTTATCAGTTGTGATGAGTTCATTGTTATGCCGGTAAGCATATACTTCCTTGGTATACAATCAGGGAAAACATTCCACTTCGATATGCAATAGATACGCCCAGCCCATTGCAATGTTTAATGTTAAAAATGCCTAACCAACCTTGAGGGGGGGCGGGGAAAGGAGTCAATGTTTTTAATGAATTGTATATCAACATAAAAACAAAATCTTAGTGCCCGGAAAGGTTTTGTCACTAATTGTAGGGAACTTAATTTGAGGTAAAATAGAGCATTTCATATATGTGCGTGATTGTGAGGTGAAATTTCAATATTTGTAGGTTTCGTGGTCGCTCACAAATTTCTCACTCACTCACGTACAGTATGCTGATATTTTAGTGTTCATTGGCTGTGAAAACAATAATATTCTAAAAACATCAATAATGGACGACTTGCGCTTTAGACTAATTTTTGATCGAAATGATAAGAAGAAAGTAAATCACCACATGCAGCTAAACTTGAATTAGTGCAAACTCAAAGTTTGGCCGCGAAATTTTGTGAAATACGGAAAATATAGCCATGCCAATGTGTAACTAATTTAGTTACAAACTTCCAGCCGTAATACAAATGTATACAAAATTTGACAACTTCCCAAGACTATATTTTTCGTAATTTACAACAATTCGCAGCTAAACCTGGTAGTTTTACTAATTGTAGTAAGCTCTTTCAGGAAATTTCCTTTTTATCGCCGAGGTCCGAAATCAGTCTTAAACGCAAGTCGTCCATTATAGCTAATATAGGGAGATTTAGCATGAGGACGTGAACGTCAAATGCTACGTTATATAAAATGGCGAGTAATTGCATGGCGTGGCATGTCCATATTTGGGCGCATCACGCCATTTATTCGCCATTTTCACGTCATCTTTGACGTTCGCGTCCCCACGCTAAATCTCCCTAATAACTCAAAATTTACGCCACTGCTCACGCACGAAGATAAAATTAGATGCTAACGCATGCATTGTTACTTGTTTTTTCAGGTCTCAACCAACGAAATGACAAGTACATCAAAAATACCATTTCTCTGTTCTGACAAGAAAACGTTGTGTTTACCAAGCGAACTGCCGACGTTACAGTTTGATTACACGTTATATTTTTATCCTGGTCAGGAGGATGCCAAAGGTAAAAGTTCCTTCATCAATATTCCCTGATCCATTTCGTTTGTAATCATGAAATATATATCTTGTGTATTTAGCCTTTTTCACGTTGACGACAGTATAGAGTAATATTAATATATGTATATATTAATATATACATGTATTATTAATAATGTAAGAATAATAATGCAAGAGCCATCTTTAAAATATAGTGCATGAGAATATAGAAAGTACTGGGTCCGGTTGTGTGAAGGCTGGATAGCACTATCTACCGGATAGTGGTTTTTCCATTGCTTTGAAATCGCCCGTTGTTGGGTATAACCTTAATTATATCTTAGCATTCCTAAATTGGGAATTTCTCGTTCGTTTTTTTTTGCTTTTCATGCGTTTTTAGAACTGTCGAAAAAATCACTGTCCGGTCGATAGTCAGGAATATAGACATAATATTCAGGGCCGTAACTAGAAGGATAATTGGGGGGGGGGTGTTTATTCATATATTTAGTTCTGCCCGACGGGTTTCTTTTGTAAGTGCAATAGCTTACAATAGAAATACGTCGGGCAGAACTGAATATATGAATTAATACCCCCCCCCCAAATTATCCTTCTAGTTACGGCCCTGAATTAATATTTGTGTTAATTGCATGATATACAGTAGTTTGGGCCAAACATTTATCAATTAGTATACCTTATTTTTAATACAACCGATCCACTCTAAAAGAGACAATCTTTTTGGTCAATCTTGGCACTAAAATAATGGTTAAAGTTGAGTACAGTACGTAGTGCCTAAATTTGCACTTATTTTTCTTTCAGTTCCACAACCAAATTTATTTTGTCAAATCAACCCACTTCACCTGACAATGGACAGCGTTACCTGCATCTGGTTTCATAGATTTATGCAGAGTATTAGATCAGGCTTTGTAAGTTCACGTAGAATTTTCGTTGCAAAATACCTAAAAAACTGCTTTGCACGTAATTGGATAAAGTTTGTCCTTAATTTCTTGAATTCTATGCCCTAAAAAAGATGAACCTTGTAACTCATTACACCTTATCCTGATCGAGTAAAAAATTTGCCTTTAGGCCGTTGTACGTTTGTCTTCTTCTTTGCATTAGCTATTCCTACAAAGCCTATATTCACAGGGTATCTAAAAAACGAAATCGGCACCTATTAAACATGCTGTAACCTCTTAAATATTGAGTCTAACAATTCAATTTTTACGTAGCATAAAAGAGGAGTTATTTGCTTTCTTTTGCATGCCGTCAATTCATTTTGATCACTAATTCTTATTTTAGAAATATTTTATCGTGTCTTGCTGTTAGGAACTGTATCATTGACGTCTCATGTCGTTTCATTAAGTTGTTGCCAGAAATTCAAAATCAATCCTTATCCATCAATCCTTAAACCTTATCCCGCTTATGCCAAGGGGGGGGGGGCGTATCGCAACCCAGGATAGCTTATTTTAATTAAGCACCCTAATTTTCCAATAATAATTTTAGGCATGGGCAGAAGAACTCATCGCAGCCCAAGAAACAGAACCCAGGCACATTGATGTTCGGATTGAAGGACTTATGCCGAAGGTACGTACAGTGTTAACATGCACACATCAGACCGTACGGCCCGAAAGATCGAGGTCACAATGTGCCTCACCGTAAACCTTATCCAGAGGTCGCGGAAAAGGGTTGGGGGGGGGACAATAATCTATTCATGTTAGCTGACCGTGAAAACAATCAATTTCAAAGGAAACTAACAATGCTAACGTGAATATAATTATGAATATTTGCACCCTCCACGATCTCTCGCCGCCCCTGACCTTATGCATTCCAGTGTCGATCGATGAACTTCGATCCGTATAGATGAGTATTTTCGTTGTGGGGGAATTTAAAATTTTATGTCGTTCAAATTTGTGGAATTTTTGTCAATTTGTACTACATTAAAGTCATAAGCAGACGCAGGTTATATTTTCTATCTAATACTGCGGGCCGGTTGTATCAACCCCGTTTAGCTTTGAATAACACTCTTACATCTCTCTGGGATGTGTCAACTTGAATATTATCAAGTGAATATAGTTGTAGACAGTATCTTTGTATCGAGGTCAAAAACAGTTAGTGCGCTCGTTGAATCAAACGTTAGACTTGCTTTCTATTTTTGACTTATGCACCGTTTAAGCTAAACGGGCTTGATGCAACCGGCCCCAGAACATCACTTAATTCGATACTAAAGTTTGAATTTGACAATTAAGGCTGCTTTCCACTGTCGCGTTTTTTTTTACGCACGAAAACTTTAAATGCCTCCAAATTTTTATTATTTGCCGAATGGGTTAAAAAATGGATACTAAAATATGCGGAAAACTTTTTCTTTCGATTTATTCGCCTGGCGTTTTCAAATATGACATATGTAAGGATTTAAACTTTTACGTACGTGTACGTGCGTATGAAAAACGCGTAAGTGGAAGGGGGCCCTTAACGAAAGAGCAGCAAATCTAATCGTGAGAGCCAAAATGATGTGGGCTGCGGCGAAGAAAACAAGGTCAGGATAAAAACATTTCTTAGTCAAATCCGATTTCACGTAGGTTTGTGGCTGTCTGATAACATGCATTATATATTCAATTTCTGGAGGCTTTCGTATATTTATATAATTTTATTCCATAATACTAATACCAAGTAAAATATATTATGTCGTCTTTTGGATTGCTGTCGAAGTGAGTCAAACCATAGGCAGCCTAAATAGGCGTGATAATTTGAACGCGGTTTTTCGGCAATTTGTCAACATGGTGTAATAATAATGTATAATTACATAAGGTAGGAAGCTCTTTTTTGCGTTAAGAAATTTACCACTTTTTTCATTTACCACTTAGACTATGACAAAATACCTTAATTATAGTGACCGAAACAAATAAAAAATACAGCAACTAATCTCTGATAATTTTCCTAACTTCTTGCAATCGAGTTACGATTTAAAACTGCTTTTAATTAGCGTGACAAAATACGGCAATATTTTTATACTTTTTGATCAAAGACTTTTCTTACGATGCTTGATGCCAGTGGTCCCGTTATTCCTCATTGGTTTCAAATATTTTACATGATCCTATTGGTTGAAATTGGTTAAGGTTCGTTGGACTATTGTTTTAACTAATAGGATCATATAAAATATTTCAAAACAATAACGAATACAAGGATCACTGTCATCCCGCATCGTACGGAAATATTTTTTTATCAAAATCTATAAAAATACTGCCGTATTTTGTCATGTTAAAAGTAGTTTTAAATCGTAATTCGAATATTACACCATGTTGACAAATTCCTGAAAAATTTCTCGCGTTCAAATAATCACGCATATTTGGGCTGCCTATGGTCAATCTTTGTATCGGAATTAAACAGTGAAGAATTTTGATATCCGAGACCGAAATGACAGTGGCGTAGCGAGCATCGATAATTGGGGAGGGGGCATATTCATATATTCATGTTAACAGACTGTAAAGACAGTTGATTTGAAAAGAAATTAAACCTGCGTATCACGAATATATGAATATGCCCCCCCCCCCAGTTATCGTCTGGCTACGCCACTGCGAAATGAATATACTAAACAATGCATCACTACTACAGTACTTTTTCTCAACGACTAAAAATATAAATTGCCTTAAACCTAAATGCGGAAAAAAATGGTTTCATTAGGGTGATTCTTTTGAAATCATTTTATAAATGCGTTTAATTTAAAATTAAAGTTTAAAAAGCCAGTAAATTCATGTTTATGATAAAAATCTCAAAACAACAACAACAACCCCCTTTCGTCATCCCTCGAATTTTTATAGAAAGAGACAGTACTACTGCATGGTGTTCTTTATTATGCATGCATGCAAATACTTTTCACGCTAAAATAAACGCTTCTAAAATGTGATCGTTATCCTTTCATTTCTTTAGATAACATTGCCTTGTCCAAGTGATGCTAGTTCTTTGTACAAACAATATCGGCCTCAGGCTCTTCAAATCCACATGTCGAGTTTCCGAGTAAGTAACGCTCGAATCGGTTCGGACTTCAAGCAGTCAGATCTCGTGAATACGTTGGAGGTATTTCTCAAAAGTCAGCTGTACGTTAATAGTGATGTTTTCCCCAATGATGCCAGTGATGTGAAGCCTCTATCACAAACAGCTTGGCTGAATGATTTTAGCCTACTCTCCGGAATTCTCAATAACGAGAATATCTGTGGGGATGAAGTGTCAGGGAACAATTGGTCAGTTGTGTGGATGTTGAATGCTCGCCAGTGCTGGTGTGATTTTATTGGAATTGAGGAGTCAAATCGCCGACCGAGGCCTTTTATCGAACCATTTCCTCTAATATTGTGCATGTGCTATCCCATTGCTCGAAGCAGTCAACAGCCAAAGCCGCTGTCTCTTCCAGTTGGAAACACGTTGTCAGAGTATTCTCAGAATTCGTCAATGAACGCGTTACGTCGATCACCGTCAGATCCTTACTGCAAACAGTCGAAGCCATACCGTAAATCATCGTCGACCAAATCAACTCCATTATCGTCGCCAGGTTTTGCCAAGGTTCATAAATCACGATCAGCCACCTCGGTTAACATTCCCTTGTTACCTTCAGATATCCGCGATAATACAATGATCGGAATATCGCCGAACGTTAGCGAGAGTGGATCCGAAGAATCAACGAGCAGTTTCACCGAGGATAGTATTACGTCAGGAAGTGTTCAGTCGATATCTTCCAATTCTTTCCAGAGTAATCTTAACGGAAAAATCAATACAGAAAATGTTAGCAGTATCAAGCCAAGAGAGAATGATGGAATAACGACGGGAGATTCGCGTGGAGTTTCAGCCTACAGAACTAACCCATTCGTCAGTAGTACAAGTGGAATTGAGTCTGATGGAAGCGGTGATATACGACACGACAAAAACTCTCCGAGGCCTACTGAAAATGAACAACCGGATAATTCAGAGTGCGCCTTGAGTATTCTGTTAAATGTTCCAGAGACTCTGGCCATCTCGCTTGATCACTATCAGTTTGTATTTCTAATGAGATTACAAGAAAGTTTTGTGACCCTACGAGACGTCTTGTTCGCGGATCTGGCCAAATTCGATGATCAACGGCGAAAGCTGCAGGATAATACCGGTGACTCCTGTGCGCCTGACGATCCTGGTATTTTGCTCTCCCTCGTTAGTAAGGGTGCCGAAGTTGTGTTGCTAGTCCCAGCGCCGAATGTTGACCAGTCACAATGCCAATCAGAACACTGTGCCGAGCCACATGGCCTTGATCCATCGCACAACGGCTATGAGCAATCGGAAACGATCCAAGCTGAAATTAAACTTAAAGATTATGAGTATTCCCCGAGAGATAACGAGAAGTTACTCGAGGCAGACGATAGCAACGAACATCTCGGTAAGACAGAAGATGGAACTGCGGACGTGCGAACCAATAGTGCGGTTCACGAACAGAGTGAAAGCGAAAATAGCAGCGTGAATGCATCAACCTTTGGCAGTGAGTATTCACTATTGACAGCGGGTACAAGTAGCGAACGGTCATACGAATGCCGCGATGTTTCCACCATTACCATAACGGGAACGTCTTTGGAATGTTCTATTGCAATGAAAAATGACGATTTTGCATTAAAGCTACTTGCATGTGGCTGTGATATCAACGAAAGCTACCATGAAAATCTGGAAGGGTATCTGAATTCAAAGTTGAAATGCCCCAAAAGCCCCCGCCTGCCTTCTAAAGGTTACGGGGAATTGAAGTTGCGTTATGCCTTGGGTTCCACTGTTGATCAAACAATGACAGGCGCTGTTGAGAATGGCGTAGCGCATTTGACGTTGAGTGATGTTGTAGTACCTTTGCTCATGAGCAATGTTGATGGTTTATTGGAATGTGTACAGGATGAAGTGGAAGTTCCCCAACCATTTATGCCAGCAATAATCGATCTAAAAAATCTTCGCTTGGATATAACCAGCGATACTCCACCCCGTTTGCTCTCCTTGCCTCAATCGTTGCCGTTAAATGTCCACATTAAGCAAGGAACAATAATCAGAACTGGTGAAGGAGAAATACAGGTGAATGTACCTAGGGGACCTTTGGCGTCAGCGACAAAGCAAAACCTTTATCGTACACCGGACGGTCAGCTTGTGACGTCTGATAAAATGGTTGAAAGGCTGCGTGAAGAATGCAACGACATGACTTCGAGAGTTTCGGCGATCCGATACGAAAATGTGCGTTTGTTAAATGAGCTTCAGGTCTCCAACGAACTCAAAGAAGGTCTAAAAAGCGAGCGAGATAAACTGCTGGTTACGGTGGAAAGATTGACAGACGAACTGGTTAAGTCTAACCGCGATTATGACAGGATGCAGGATATCGTGCGTCATCTACAAAGTTCAGGCCATTCATGATTAGCTGACTAAATGTGATGTCGAAAAATTAGGCATTGGTCGGAATTATCGGCTTGGACGTTTCACCGAATTGCACGTAACATGACGTACCATGCTTAGTTTGGCCCTCGCCTGAATTGTAAAACTGCAATCGATGGTTCGTTGGAATCTTGAGTCTGTGTATCGAACGGAGGCGTTATTTTTTTAACGTCATCCGCTTTCTTAAGTATTTAAGGAGTGATGGAAAACTTGAATGTACTTGAATTTAAAAAGAAATTCCAAGGCCTTGAAAGCCTTTTAATTTAACAAACACATTCGTCCAGACGTACGATTTCAGAACTCGATTTGAATCGATGCATTCCTCTCAAAGAGATTACCAGCGCCCCGATCTGATTTCAATATGTGTAATTATATTTTTCATTAATTTTATCCTTGAATGTTTTGCCTTTTACAATTAAATGTTCTTCTGGCTGGTCTTTCCAACCTTTTACTTGATACGTCATGTTACTTGCAGTGTATTATGGTTGACGCATAGTACTTGATATGTTTCAACCCGATGTTTTATTTTGTTGGAGATGAAAATAACATCCGCTCAAAAATTTTCCCCCAGATGTTGGAAGTACATTAACTAAGTTAGATTAATTCACGGACTCTTTTAAATTGTGAAAAGGAGATACTTTTTCCACGTTTTGTGGTTCTAATTGACATGGTTAGTAAGATGAGCATGAGGGGGATATAATTCTGTAAATTTTTATTTACTAAATTTAAATTAATAAATAAATTTTCAAGAAAAGGTTATACATAAAATAAAGTTAGAATTTCTCATGATACATATGTGTCTTTATTTTTATTCAATGCATGGTTGGTCTTCTTTAAACCATATCCTGGGTCAACCTCGTACCCAGGGTCTTTCCTCTGTGCACACTCTCTGTGCTCACTCTAGGGGGAACACCCCCAGAGTGAGCACAGAGAGTGAGCACAGAGAAAAGACCCTGGGTACGAGGCTAATCCCGAGTCCGATGATCGTCCGCGTCTTGTGTTTATAGTTATCGATTAGGTTTATAGGTATATAGAATTTTAAAGAATTTTGAAGTCCCCAAAATATAGTTAAGAATTTTAAAGTCTGTAACAAAATAGCCAGGACGAGAAATAGAGGTGTGAAATTTCTCTTTGTACCAACCCCAATCGCCTTACTATACAGGTCCTGTACTATCTTATTAGGTACTATCTCACGAGAAGTAGCTTTAACTCCCGCGTACGCGTTTACACTTTGAAAAGGAGAATTTTGTACCGATTAATTGCATGTAGGGTTGGCGTGGTAAATAGCATAATGTCGAATTTCTGAAATGAACTGAATTTAATCTGTTTCTAATGTTTATCCATGTAAATTCTCCAATTAAAAGCTTTCAAGCTATGTTTGCGAATTTCTTATAACTTTCTAAATTAAAACCAAACAAAGTGGAGTCTGTACAAAGCTAGGAATATTAGTTTTCTGTAACCAGTCGTAGATCTAGAATTGTAGACATTTAAATTGATCAATCTTGGATCTGACAAAAAGAATATACAATTAAAAATGATTACATTGCCTCAATTGTAAATAAATTTCTTAAAAGGACAAAAATGATATAATTATGGTGCCCCAAGATCGATTTTGTTTTTTCGGTGGCAATAAAAATAACATCTGCAGCATACTTCGTAAAAAATGTAAATTGTGGAAAAACAGACACTGCAAAAGATAACGCGTTTTCAAAGAATTTAATTGAGCCGTATGAATCCCTTCATTTTAGAATTATTGCATTTCCTAAATTGCTTTCGTCGTTACTGTCATGCAAGGTCATTAACATTGTTCTCTTTTGACATTGACATAACAATTGAACAAATTCATCAAGCAATATCATGCAGGTTCTATCAACTTTCATTGTCCTCTAATCTAGGTCGGCTTAAATTACAATTGAATAGACTTTGTCGGTACCCTGACTTGACAAAGAGGAATTTTTCTTGACAAAGAGAAAATATTTTATTTTATCATCGATCAGAAATCACAAACATATTGAACGCCCTTGCTGTTGTTATGTTTGGTAATCTACTCGTTTTATAACTCAAAACCCTCTAAAATATTCAATGTTTACTCGCTGCCCTGTCTATTACTGAACGAGGCTCACCGGAAGTGACGTAACACTACATCACCCTCTTTCTCCAACAACAACTAAGTGTCAAATGTTTAAACTATCTGCGCAAATATCCAATAGTTTACGCTTATTGTTTGAGGGTATATTTTAAAGTCTCAATCCCGACTTTACTGGGTGCCCATAAATATTTGTCTGCCGTGTATTTCGTGTAGATCCTCAAAGCTCTTATTGTTCTTGCTGATGTTGTTCCTGTACTTTGACTGCGTCACCTTCCTGTCCCTTGTTAACGACATTCTCATCACTCTATTTATCACTGGATACTTGCTGCCCTATTTTCTTGAAGAAGGATACATTTCGCGTGATAGAGTGCATGTTGTTGGTTTCTCGCAACTTCTTTTTACCCTTTGATGCCAATAATTGTATAATTATGGCGTAGGCCGAAAATTGGTTGAAAATTTTTTCGTTTTCTTTTGCCGCAAAAGAATATGATCCCTAACTCGTAGTTTACTTGATCGCGCACGCCTTTGAGAATCCGCATATCGTTTTCCTGTTTCCTTTTGTTCTTTGTCGTTGTGCTTGGCTAATGACCTTGCTGTTGTGGGGAAGTGTGGGAAATTTTCCACGAATTTCTCGGTTATATAGCAACTGAGCCGGTGGTACCATTGTTTCCAAGGTCGTCCTTCAAGGTTTGCCATTTGAATAGCCTTGCCGAGTGGCTTCATAAAAGCTTCAACGTCAACATTACCTTGAGGCCAAAGAGGGTTAGACGTAGTATGCTGAATTCCCATTTTGGTCATGTATTTGTTGAATTCGTGCTCCCTAGAAGTTATATATTCGTCCTTGTTGGGGCGAAATTTTCCCGATTTTTTTGTCAAATTTTCGCCAGTATGGTGATAATTATATGCAAATTTTCGGATTTTTCATTTGTAAACACGTTTGTAGGAAATATCACTACAAAAAGCCAAAACGACTGTGTTTCAAGCAAAATAGATGAAAATATCGATCACAATGTAAGCTACAAATATTTTTAGGTTTTTAGGCGAGATTTTTGGAAGGCTTTGCGTATTTACGCTTCTCTGTCGTGTCACAAGGAGCGAGGCATTGAATAGCGTTAGTATAAACATCGTAGTAAACACCTTAACATATCAAAATAGCTATTATTATACAACAGAACTCCTAGAATATTCAACAGTCCACCACCACATATACGTAGATTGCATGGATGTTACCATTGGACAATTTAAGTCACACTTATTGGATTTTTATAAAAAGATGACTGAACTAGTATATAGTATATTGATGTTCCGCAGTCTTTTAAAACTGTCTGTGCCTGTCATTCATGTCGTCCGTGGTCTAAACTTGTTGATGAAATGTGCTGTAGAGGTTGATTCACTGACCTCATTGAAGTATCAGGAGATAAATACAGTTTCTACAATGTCTGAGTGTTTCTATAAGGGCAGGGAAATAACCATTATCTTGCAAGTGTTATTTTTGTATAATGTAATTTTAGGTACCCTATTAATGGAGCAATGAGCTTTGTGGGGAACACCAGTCAGGATTGACAAGGCATGTAAATAAAAAATAAATTAAACTAAAGCTCGTCAGTTTAAAACATTATCAACGAAGTAAACGTTTGACATTCTTGGGCTGGAAGGAAACATTAATTTTTCTCATTACGACACGCGGTCAGTATTCATGGACTCGCGATCACTGTTAAACAACTCAACGAACGCATAGCAAAGCCTACTTCAAAGTAAGCGGCTAGACACTAAAATAATTAATAATGAAGGCGAAAACATGGTAAGTTAATATTTGTTTCCATATAAAGCATAAAGCATCAAAGAGTTCCGTCCTTTATTGTACAGAAAGTTCTGCTAATTACTTCTAAGAGTTCCTGCTAAGCCAAAATACCGCTCTTATATACTCCAATGTCAACAAGATTGCGCTCCCTACAATAAAAAAGTTCCGTTATTTACCACCAGAATGTCCATCATTGCTAAAAATTCCCCGGCATGCAGGTAGAGTGAGTTGATACTATACTTCACCATGAATAATTAACTTTGAGATGAAAAAATTATTTTTAAACAAGTGAAAACTTAGAGTCATAGCACACAACAATTATCGAACAATATGACTCAATATATAACTCATTCGCGCCGAAATTCCAGCGTTTGTTTATCAAGGATTAGCGTGCATACCTCAGTTTTATCGGCAAAGGTCCTTGGAAACTATCTTAACGCTAAAATAATTAATAATGAAGGCGGTAACACAGTAAGATTTGTTTCTACAGGATGTCTCAAAAAAAACGAAAACTATTGAAATCACCCATAACAATGTAATTGTTAGAGTTGGAATGCCTAAGCACCCTGCTGGGATAATATCGCAATAAACATTCGTTGTTTCGCGGTCAGCTGTAGCATTTTCTTTGAAAGCAATAACAATACCAATTTAAATTTAATCATATTCACAATTTTGGGGATTTAATGCAACTTATAAAACGCTAAATACGAAAAGTTTGAAATTGTGAATATGATTAAATTTAAATGAGCCTTGTTATTGTTTCGAAAGAAAATGGTACAGCTGACCGCGGAATAACGAGTGTTTATTGTGATATTATCCCGACAGAGTGCTTAGGCATTCGATCAAACCCTAACAATTACATTGTTATGGGTGATTTCAAAGGTTTTCGGTTTTTTTGTGACACGCTGTAGTATCAACTCACTCTACCTGCATGCGGGAATTTTTAGCAATAACGAGGGACATTCTGGTGGTAAATAGCGGAACTTTTTGATTGTAGGTAGCGTAATCTAATTGACATTGGAGTATAAAAGCGGTATTTTGGCTTAGCGGGAACTCTTAGAAGTAATTAGCAGAACTTTCTGCACAATAAAGGACGGACTGACTCTTAATATACAGCGTGTCACAAAAAACTCGAAAACCTTTGAAATCACCCATAACAATGTAATTGTTAGGGTTTGAATGCCTACATATAAGCACTCTGTTGGGATAATATTAATATCACAATAAACACTCGTTATTCCGCGGTCAGCTGTACCATTTTCTTTCGAAGCAATAACAAGGCTCATTTAAATTTAATTATATTCACAATTTCAAATTTTTCGTATTTAGCGTTTTATAAGTTGCATTAAATCCCCAAAATTGTGAATATGATTAAATATAAATTAGCATTGTTATTGCTTTCAAAGAAAATGGTACAGCTGACCGCGAAACAACGAGTGTTTATTGCGATATTATCCCAGCCGGGTGCTTATAATTATAGGCATTCCAACTCTAACAATTACATTGTTATGGGTGATTTCAATAGTTTTCGTTTTTTTGAGACACCCTGTAGAAACAAATCTTACTGTGTTACCGCCTTCATTATTAATTATTTTTTCGTTAAGATAGTTTCCAAGGACCTTTGCCGATAAAACTGAGGTATGCACGTTAATCCTTGATAAACAAACGCTGGAAATTCGGCGCGAATGAGTTATATATTGAGTCATATTGTTCGATAATTGTTGTGTGCTATGACTCTAAGTTTTCACTTGTTTAAAAATAATTTTTTCATCTCAAAGTTAATTATTCATGGTGAAGTATAGTATCAACTCACTCTACCTGCATGCCAGGGAATTTTTAGCAATAATGATGGACATTCTGGTGGTAAATAGCGGAACTTTTTGATTGTAGGGAGCGCAATCTTGTTGACATTGGAGTATAAAAGCGGTATTTTGGCTTAGCGGGAACTCTTAGAAGTAATTAGCAGAACTTTCTGCACAATAAAGGACGGAACTCTTTGATGCTTCATATAGAAACTAATATTAACTTACCATGTTATCGCCTTCATTATTGATTATTTTAGCGTCTAGCTGCTTACTTTGAAGTAGGCTTTGCTATGCGTTCGTTGAGTTGTTTAGCAGTGATCGCGAGTCCATGACTACTGACCGCGTGTCGTAGTGAGAAAAATTAATGTTTCCTTCCAGTCCAAGAATGTAAAACGTTTACTTCGTTGATAATGTTTTAAACTGACGGGCTTTAGTTTAATTTATTTCTTATATACATGCCTTGTCAATCCTGACTGGTATTCCCCACAAAGCTCATTGCTCCATTAATAGGGTACCTAAAATTACATTATACAACAACAACACTTGCAAGATAACCGTTATTTCCCTGCCCTTATAGAAACACTCAGACATTGTAGAAACTGTATTGAGTCATATTGTTCGATAATTGTTGTGTGCTATGACTCTAAGTATTCACTTGTTTAAAAATAATTTTTTCATCTCAAAGTTAACTATTCATGGTGAAGTGTAGTATCAACTCACTCTACCTGCATGCGGGAATTTTTAGCAATAATGAAGGACATTCTGGTGGTAAATAGCGGAACTTTTTGATAGTAGGGAGCGCAAACTTGTTGACATTGGAGTATAAAAGCGGTATTTTGGCTTAGCAGGAACTCTTAGAGGTGATTAGCAGAACTTTCTGCACAATAAAGGACGGATTTCAAAAAAACTGAAAACCTTCGAAATCACCCATAACAATGTAATTAATTGTTAGGGTTTGAATGCCTAAGCACTCTGTTGGGATAATATCACAATAAACACTCGTTATTCCGCGGTCAGCTGTACCATTTTCTTTCGAAGGAATAACAAGGCTCATTTAAATTTATTCATATTCACAATTTCAAATTTTTCGTATTTAGCGTTTTATAAGTTGCATTAAATCCCCAAAATTGTGAATATGATTAAATTCAAATTAGCATTGCTATTGCTTTCAAAGAAAATGGTACAGCTGGCCGCGAAACAACGAATGTTTATTGCGATATTATCCCAGCAGGGTGTTTAGGCATTCCAACTCTAACAATTACATTGTTATGGGTGATTTCAATAGTTTTCGTTTTTTTGAGACACCCTGTAGAAACAAATCTTACTGTGTTACCGCCTTCATTATTAAATATTTTAGCGTTAAGATAGTTTCCAAGGACCTTTGCTGATAAAACTGAGGTATGCACGTTAATCCTTGATAAACAAACGCTGGAAATTCGGCGCGAATGAGTTATATATTGAGTCATATTGTTCGAGAATTGTTGTGTGCTATGACTCTAAGTTTTCACTTGTTTAAAAATAATTTTTTCATCTCAAAGTTGATTATCCATGGTGAAGTATAGTATCAACTCACTCTACCTGCATGCAGGGGAATTTTTAGCAATAATGATGGACATTCTGGTGGTAAATAGCGGAACTTTTTGATAGTAGGGAGCGCAATCTTGCTGACATTTACAGTATAAAAGCGGTATTTTGGCTTAGCGGAAACTCTTAGAAGTAATTAGCAGAACTTTCTGCACAATAAAGGACGGAACTCTTTGATGCTTTATGTACTATTTAAAACACGAGTAGGAGTGTTTTATGCGGTATAAAACGCGAGGCGCAGCCGAGCGTTTTATAGCGCATAAAACACGACCTACGAGTGTTTTGAATAGCTTAAAATACGACATTAATATTCAATAGACGTTGCGACCAATCGGATTGAACATGAACTTTATGTTAAACCACATGTGTCTTTATATAAAGCCACATGTGTCTTTATATAAAACAGTGTCCTGATAGTGCTTTATCGAGTATAAAAGCCTACTCACGTGTTTAAAAAGGTTCATTGGATTGGTCAAAACGTCTATTGAATATTAATGAGTTTTTTAAGCTTTATATTGGAACAAATATTAACTTACTATGTTATCGTCTTAATTATTAATTATTTTAGCGTCTAGCCGCTTACTTTGCATGAAGTAGGCTTTGCTATGCGTTCGTTGAGTTGTTTAGCAGTGATCGCGAGTCCATGACTACTGACCGCGTGTCGTAATGAGAAAAATTAATGTTTCCTTCCAGTCCAAGAATGTAAAACGTTTACTTCGTTGATAATGTTTTAAACTGACGGGCTTTACTTTAATTCATTTTTTATTTACATGCCTTGTCAATCCTGACTGCATGGTGTTCGGCCTACAAAGCTCATTGCTCCATTAATAGGGTACCTAAAATTACATTATACAAAAACAACACTTGCAAGATAACCGTTATTTCCCTGCCCTTATAGAAACACTCAGACATTGTAGAAACTGTATTGAGTCATATTGTTCGATAATTGTTGTGTGCTAAGACTCTAAGTTTTCACTTGTTTAAAAATAATTTTTTCATCTCAAAGTTAACTATTCATGGTGAAGTGTCGTATCAACTCACTCTACCTGCATGCGGGGATTTTTAGCAATAATGAAGGACATTCTGGTGGTAAATAGCGGAACTTTTTGATTGTAGGGAGCGCAATCTTGTTGACATTGGAGTATAAAAGCGGTATTTTGGCTTAGCAGGAACTCTTAGAAGTAATTAGCAGAACTTTCTGCACAATAAAGGACGGAATTCAAAAAAACCGAAAACCTTTGAAATCACCCATAACAATGTAATTAATTGTTAGGGTTTGAATGCCTAAGCACTCTGTTGGGATAATATCACAATAAACACTCGTTATTCCGCGGTCAGCTGTACCATTTTCTTTCGAAGCAATAACAAGGCTGATTTAAATTATTTAATTATATTCACAATTTCAAATTTTTCGTATTTAGCGTTTTATAAGTTGCATTAAATCCCCAAAATTGTGAATATGATTAAGTTTAAATTAGCATTGTTATTGCTTTCAAAGAAAATGGTACAGCTGACCGCGAAACAACGAGTGTTTATTGTGATATTATCCCAGCAAGGTGCTTAGGCGTTCAAACTTTAACAATTACATTGTTATGGGTGATTTCAATAGTTTTCGGTTTTTTTGAGACACCCTGTATACTTCACCATGCATGAATAATTAAGTTTGAGATGAAAAAATTATTTTTAAACAAGTAAAAACTTAGAGTCATAGCACACAACAATTATCGAACAATATGACTCAATACAGTTTCTACAATGTCTGAGTGTTTCTATATAAGGGCAGGGAAATAACTATTATCTTGCAAGTGTTACTTTTGTATAATGTAATTTTAAGTACCCTGTTAATGGAGCAATGAGCTTTGTAGGGAACACCAGTCAGGATTGACAAAGCATGTAAATAAAAAAAAAACAACTATAAAACCCGTCAGTTTAAAACATTATCAACGAAGTAAACGTTTGACATTCTTGGACTGGAAGGAAAGATTAATTTTTCTTATTACGACATGCGGTCAGTAGTCATGGACTCACGATCACTGTTAAACAACTCAACGAACGCATAGCAAAGCCTACTTCAAAGTAAGCGGCTAGACGCTAAAATAATTAATAATTAAGGCGATAACATGGTAAGTTAATATTTGTTTCTATATGAAGCATCAAAGAGTTCCGTCCTTTATTGTGCAGAAAGTTCTGCTAATTATTCTTCTAAGAGTTCCCGCTAAGCCAAAATACCGCTTTTATATACTCCAATGTCAACAAGATTGCGCTCCCTACAATCAAAAAGTTCCGCTATTTACCACCAGAATGTCCATCATTATTGCTAAAAATTCCCGCATGCAGGCAGAGTGAGTTGATACTATACTTCACCATGAATAATTAACTTTGAGATGAAAAAAATGTTTTTACAGAAGTAAAAACTTAGAGTGATGGCACACAACAATTATCAAACAATATGACTCAATATGTAACTCATTCGCGCCGAAATTCCAGCGTTTGTTTATCAAGGATTAACGTGCATACCTCAGTTTTATCAGCAAAGGTCCTTGGAACATATTTTTCCCATGATATCTAAAGCATCAAAGAGTCTTTTGCCTACTTCAAAGTAAGAGGCTAAACGCTAAAATAATTAGTAATGAAGGCGATAACACAGTAAGATTTGTTTCTATATTAAGAGTTCCGTCCTTTATTGTGCAGAAAGTTCCGCTAAATCCCTCTAAAAGTTCCCGCTAAGCCAAAAACATATGTATAGTCGCCCCTAATTGTCAGAATGTTTGTTGTTATAAACTTCCTCATTCCAAACCGACCGTTTAATTGCATATAAAAGCGCAGTGCACCGTACGTTTTAATAAATCTTGTTCAAATTTGACAAATACCACAACGTGAGAAGGCAAGAAATAAAATGGACGCTGTAAGTTTTGTCGAATCTCTCGAGCTCCATGAAGGCTCACCAATGCCAATGCGAATGATGGAATCTTTCAAAAGCACGCTGGCTGAGAAAAAGAAAGCAAAAGCCTTTGTAGATGCTGGTAGCCTTGTGTCTTTCACTGAAAATCTGTCTGGGCAAAATAAAGAAGACGTCCTGAACTCCACACTTCTGGCACAATTAGCCGCAAGTAAGAAACATGACCGCCAGACTGACAGCGCCAATTGGTACAAGTTTTACACAGACGTCTTGATGAAGATTGGTTGGGTTACTCAACAATTCCAGTTCAGTAAGTACCATTCACACACGGGTTCTTTCGAAATGTCTACGGTGGTCCTGGACATCCTCTTGTCATTAGTTGGTGATGGTGAACAAACCTTGGTGGATGTCGTGAAAGCAACCTTAGAATCGTTCAAAAAATCAGGTGGGGACACCATCAAGCTGTTTGATCACAATTGTGTCTCGGGGCAGCAAGGCAATTTCCAAATCATTCCCTGCACCGTTGATAAGAAGAGTGGCCAAGTCGTTGTGAAATTTGTCGGTGCATATTTCAAAGCAACAAAAGTCGATTCTCGCTTTTTATTCTTCACGTACAGCAACAGTCAGGTTGACTTAGAGAAGGCTGCCGATTCCCTCACACTGAACGAGAAAATCTATTCCAAAGTTCGTCAAGCGATAATCGATAAATTAGGAGGCAAGGCCCAAACTTTTGTCGACGGATTGGACATTTAATTTTGTGGACAAATTAGACTATGAAACAATTTAATCTGAATATTATCATAAATACTTTAATCGACTAAAACGTTCCTTAACAAACATTTTACTAATTCTTTCTAGTATATTTGTATACGATAAGCTGGTCATATAATACCGCTTAATGATTTGTAGTTGCTTATTGAAATCAATAAAACACTTTGCTGCATGCAGCTGAACGATGCGCTCTTATCTTCGATGCCTGGTTAGACAAATGAGTAAAAAGAGGTATTTGGCAAAATAACATCTGTAGTGTAAGTTTACCAACATTAACTGGAGAATATTGGAGGTTACGAAATTCCCAGAAATTAATCACAACTGACTGGAGACATAAAGTTAAATAATTGATGACTTTTGCGAAGGATACAAAAGCCAAAAGTATTTACGTGTGTTCAATTTTCGAGCTGCATGAGTACATTTAGGCCCTCATGATATCTTTTTATTCAGACATCTGGCGGACATCTCAAGTTTTTATGTCATAAATTGCGCGATTTTTATGGTCAGATATTAGCTAAACCTTTAAAACAGCAAAAATAATTTAAATCCCTACACACTAAACGTCGAGGTATTATTTTTCGATTAGTAAAATCATACTGTGACTGCAGTCGATCAAATTTCCTGAGCTAACCTGACCTAAACTTATTTTATGAAATGACACAAAACTTAAATACATAAGTTCGCGATGTTTTTTCGCAGTGTTGCGCAATACACACCTTAACAAGAAGGACAGCACGCGACGACGACGGCCAAAATAAACTGCTTCAAATAAATAGCTGTGAAGAAAACTTGCCACAAAATTTATTATAACTTCGTAAGCCTGAATTCAATACTGTATAAGAAGCAGTGAACTCAAAAGAACTGGAAGGCTACCTCCGGCTGGAGATTTGAAGCCAAATTTTGGGGTCATGCCCAGTCTTTTCACGCAACTAAACACGCGGTTTTTTGAAACTTCAAAAATAATACTTCAACATGCAAGCACTAAAAACATCTTTTAGAGAACATAAAGTGCGTTTTGCACTGTATTTTTAGGATAAAAGCATCCGTGAAAACTACAGAGTAAAGTATACTAAATTTATCTCTATCAAACTCGCAATTAAATTGCCCTTTCTTATGAAAAACGTTGAACGAGGAGTGAAGCCGGGACAATTCAAAAGTGTTTGTGTGAATTTCCTTATTTAATTTCATTGTTTATCAATTTAATCCCTCTGAAACTTACGAAAAAACATTCTAACAATATTTATTTAACAGCTAAATTTTCTTTTTTATATGTTTTATGAGCACATAACAACAAAATATATATTTTTTGTTTTGTTGCCTGCAAACCTTTTTGAAGTGGTGATCGTTTTCGAACAAACTGTTTACATTTTCCTTATAATTTCATCAGGCCGCGGTTCGAGGTATGCTTTAATCAGCATTGATTACAAAATTATAGCCTAAATCGTTAAAATAAACGATAAATCCGAACGTATGTAACTTCGCCGCTAAACAGTTCATGTTTTCCTTATGTAAGTTATGTTCCCTCCTGAAACACGCGCGTCTGGAGGTAAAACACGCGTGTCTGGAGGTAAAATTTGGCTTCAATATTTTTGGCTATTTTAATCAGGAGGTAGCCTTCCAATTCTTTTGAGTTCAATGATAAGAAGTTGAAAATATGGCTTATTTGCTCGGAACGATTCTACTGAAGCGAATTTAAAGCTGCACTGTGCAGCCTGAAATGCAGGCGTCGTACATATACACATGGAAGAGGTAAATTTGTGAATTCAATCCATACCATACCATACCAAACCATACAATTCATTTAATCACGCTAGACTCAACAACCCGATGGGGCTGATTTCCATGAGGGGCGTGAAAGTTTAGTAGTGCTAAATCAGTATTCCTATTTCCGAGATTGTATGTATTGCTTCTTTTATTGTTAAATCGAAATGATTCATTTAGATTGGGAGCGATGTGGCCATTCAGAATTTTAGGAATAAAAATGGACTTAAAATTCTTTCTTCTTTCATCCAGAGACTTCCAATTTTGGTTCTCGAGTAATTCAAAAGACCGCGAGTATCGTAAGTTGCCCGAGTAAGACCACTCGCGCAATTATCCCATGGAGGACTGCAATAATCGAAATATGACTGTATTATAGCATTATATAACATTTTGGTAGTCGACAGTGGTACAAAAGGTTTAATCCGTCTGATTGTACCAATGCCGGGACTAACCTTAGAAGAAATAGATTGGATATGTTTATCCCAGGATATCCTTTCATCAAGGCTCACGCCGAGTCATGAATATTTCGGTACTTACTCGGTTTATTATTAATTAAAATAAGCTTACTGCATACTTTATTCTTGAGATTGTGGGAAGATCCAATGAACATATGTTTCGTTTTATTGGGATGGATCTGAAGTTTGTTTTGTATCATCCATTTACATATATTTTTAATACTGACAGTCAAAATATGCCTTCAAACAACAAATTCCAAAACTTTGTTTGGGTAAATTTTCAGTTTAACATGTATGACATGTATATGTACTGAATGTACAAGAATATACTGACATGCATTAGAGAAAGCCATAACAAACACGATTCATTTAAGGATTATTCCATATATAACTACCTACACAATAATTATGGTTGAACGCACATCGCTGGCAAGCCAATTGTATTAAAATATACCCGACTATAGTAGAAATATTTCTTACATACCGGGTAGTATTGGGGGATACAGGTGTTCTTTAATATATTGTACAGTGGAGAGCTACGCTAGTGTTACAGGCCTATGCATGATTTAGGGACTATAAGATATATATGATTTATGATTCAATGAAGCGTGAGATGGTTTAACATGAGACAATAGCATGCATGTGTGAGTTTGGTGTCATAAAGATTTATTTCTCGTTGTAAGTGGGATCATGTGAACAGCCGTTAGTGGGAGATGACGGAGAAATACAAGGTGATGTTTCATTCCCTCAATACTTGCATGTATAAACGTCTTTAGTTTTATCTACTGAATTTTCGTCCAGCTCTGTTGTCTATAAATATTCTGTGGCCTGATATGGAACCAAAAACTAAAGCTTTTTCAACGCTTAATATTATATTCCTCGCACGTTATCACAGCGGTAACATTTGGCGCAAGTATTAATTGATCAATATGCTTTTGCTGCATGAGCGGTCATCCTCCTACACCGCACGTGATTTCGCCGTTAAGGCATGTGCCTCTCAGGCGGAGGATGTCAAAGTTTCCTCAGTTTCTAGATCTGCATGTTCTGGTGTTATCTCGGAGGAGATTCACAAGCTATTTTCTTAAAGGGATGTGGCAATAAAAAATTTTCTGTTCTGTTCTCAAACCAGCTTTAACGTAAAATACGAATAAAATAAATGTCGGAGATTTGGCACGCGAATACTCTCGATTATTTCTCCAGTTAATACATCTAGAAAGCTAGTTTAAGACGAACAAATCATAAAGAATGGTAGGCTAACTATCAAACAAGTAATTCAAAACTACTTTCAGTACAGTGTTGCCTATATAGGAAAACAGCACATGCACACACAACAACATGACTGTTCCCCGTATCCCGCCTGCACACTATAATTATAAGACCTTGATACGAAGCAAAATCGCATACATGCCGAGCCCGCAAATCTGGTCACCACAGTCTATTTCTCTAATCTTTGAAATGTAAAAGGTTCAAAGACGTGCCACAAGCTAATTTAGAGTCATCTTGTCGTTGTCGTTTGGATCCAAAACAAGCTACAAAAACGCTCTTCTTAATGCTCTTAAGGAAATGAGACACAGTCAAAACATAAAAGTTAACTTAAGTAATCGTGTCACAAGGAGCGAGGCATTGAATAGCGTTAGTATAAACATACCACGAGTAAACACCTTAACATATCAAAATAACTATTATTCAACAGAACTCCTAGAATCTTCAACAGTCTTCCACCACATATTCGTAGATCGGATGTTACCATTGAACAATTTAAGTCCCATTTATTGGATTATTATAATAAGATGACTGATCTAGTATATAACATTGATGTTCCGCAATCTTTTAAAACTATCTGTGCATGCATGTCATTCACGTCGTCCGTTATCTTAACTTGTTGAGGAAATGTGCAGCTGTATAGAGGTTGATTCGCTGACCTCAGAATATTTCTCATGAGTTTCTTAGCCTTCACTGTTCAAAATTAGTAATAGCCTTGAAACAAGTTACTATTAGGAGACGAATACAGTTTGTACAATGTCTGATTGTTTCTATAATTGCAAAGAAATAACCATTCTCTTGCAAATTTGTTTGTGTATAATGTAATTTTAGGCATCCTATTAATGGAGCAATGAGCTCTGTAAAGAAGACCAGTCAGGATTGACAAAGCATGTAAATAAAAAATAAATAAAATTAAACTGCCTGTTTTAAAGCATTATCAACGGAGTAAACGTTTGATATACTTGGGCTGGAAGGAAACATTAATTTTTCTCATTACACAACATGCGGTCAGTAGTTGTAGTTATGGACTAATGATCACTGTTAAACAACTCAACGAACGCATAGCAAAGCCTACTTCAAAGTAAGCGGCTAAACGCTAAAATAATTAATAACGAAGGCAATAACAGTAAGATTTGTTTCTATACTAAGTATCAAAGAGTTCCGTCCACTGATATTGTGCAGAAAGTTCTCCGCTAATTACTTCTAAGAGTTCCCGCTTAGGCCAAAATACCGCTTTTATACTTCAATGTCAACAAGATTCTGCTCCCTACAATCAAAAAGTTCCGCTATCTATCACCATACCTTCATTATTGCTAAAAATTCCCTCATGCAGGTAGAGTTGATGCCATACTTAACCATGAATAATAACTTTGAGATGAACAAATAATTTTTAAACAATTAAGTAAAAACTTAAAGTCATGGCACACAACAATTATCGAAAAATATAACTCAACATATGTATATAACTCATTCGCGCCGAATTTCCAGCGTTTGTTTATCAAG